CTTTGCCTTTTTGGAAATTTGCAGTTTCGGCTTTTAGGAAAATATCACATTTATCTGTGGACATCAAGGCTTCATGTATGCAATTAATAATAAACATAACTGAACACTAAGATGAAAAAACAGTTTTCAATGACTGCTAGGTGGCTAGAGTTTGTTCCTCAGAGCCTGTGGCCTGTATGGTCTACAACACTCGGGCCCACAGGGCCTCGAACTCCTGACCGGGTCTGCACGGTCTGCAACAGCCAACAAACAAATGAAGAAATGTTTATGATCACTAGCAATTAGAGAGATGCAAATCAAAACCACAATGAGATATCATCTCAAACCATCAATACAAGCAAAGATTTAAAAAGTAGAGGAGAATAAATGCTGATGAGGATGCCCAGAGCTTAGACCCCTCCTACTTTGCTGGTGGGATTTCAAAATGGTCCAATCACACTTGTAAAGAGTATGGTGCTCCCTCAGAAAGTTGGAAATAGAAATACCTTATGATCCAACAATTCCTCAACTTGGTATTTATCCACAATAAATATGAGACATAACACAAGTATATATATATATGCAAACCAATGTTCATAGAAGCAATATTTACAATAGCAAAAAGATGGAGACAGCCTAAGTGCCCATCAATTGAAGAATGGATAATCAAACTTTTGTACATACACATAATGGACTATTATGCTACCTGAAGAATAACAAGAATGCTTGAGTCACCACATAACACGGATGAACCTTGAGGGCATTATGCTGACTGTAATTAGTCAGTCAAAAGGAGAAATACTTCATAGGACCACTATTGTAAAAGCTCAAGAAAAAATACACACATTAAAAGGGGGGAAATATTATTTGCTGGCTACCAGGGAGTATGGCATGGGGTGAGAGGATGATGGAGAGGGTGGAGCACAGGGTAGGAAATAGACACAAGACACTTTGGATGCTGGCTGAGGGGCAATACACAAGAATGGGAAGGGGAATGGAAGAACAAATGGGATAGGAGTACATTTAGGCAGTTTTGTATGCGCTAAGTGGGACAGAGTTAAATAGTGTTGTGTGCTCATCCTTGGGACAACAGGGCTCTGGGATACAGGATTGAGGCATGGTGGACTGGATAAAGAGGGGAAATAATATTAAGATGTTTGACTGTCTTTTGAATCTTGGTTTCCCTTGACTACTATTGTAAAAGAGATGCTTCAGGCAGAGAGAAAGGAATAGCCAGAAACATCACCATAAAAAAACTTGTAAGTCTTTCTTCAGTCTATAACTGATTGGAATGCCTAAAATGGGACTAGAACTTGCCCATAGAAGGAGGCTTCCTTTGGAGCCTTTGCATTGCATAAGATTATGGGTGGAATCCTGATACCCATGCAGAATTTTCTGAGGTGGGAAATTTCCACTTGAATGGACAAGCAGACCAGACTGGAGAGGCTAGAAGAGAAGATACTTCTTGAAAGAAAGACCAGAAGGAAATATCAAAAACAATAACTGCAGTCTGGTGGACTATTACAAGATCAAGGCAAGTAGTCGGGTTCCCTCAGGGCAAACCCCCTTCTAAGACTGAGACTCAAGGGGAATACATGAGCAGACATATGGTCTTGCTGATGATCACTTTGGTCAATCAAGAACAGGAATGGGGGAAAAACAATAATGAAATTGTGAGTTAAGTCTGACCAGGTTCAATAGACTCCTGTGAGCCTGGATTGAGACCTAGATAGCCAGTAGTGTGTCGAGACCTGAGGACTCCTGGACTCAGGGACAGGGACATGGCCACAGAATACTAGCATGGAGAGTGAAGCATACAGCTGATATGAAGTGAGGAGAGATGCACAAGAACACCCATATTTGCAGATAATACCCACTTGACCTGGCTTCAATGGCTGGAAGATCAGTCCTTCATTAGAGAAACAAAAAAGGGATAAAAAAGAGTTATCTGCTACAATTTGATGAACTTGATCTATATTTATGAATGTAGTAGCTCAAAATAGGGAATGAATTTTACAGAGAGCATCATTACCACTCCCTCGGGAAACAGGGTTGACATTGGTTACCCAAAATGGGGGACTACAAAGGCAAGAAGTGACTGGCTTACAAGCTTTCAAGAGGGAAACTAGTTTCAGAGGGTCAGGGGGAGGTAGAATCCCCTCTGAGTTGTTTTCAACCTGTCTAGATGGGGTTGGTGAAAGGAGATGGGGATAAGATTCTTGTGGTTCAATAGTGGAAAAATTGCTATCTGGACTGACTGTGAGTGTTGGAAATGTAGACGTTTTGTAACAAAAAGAGGGGAGTATATGATTTTGCAGTCTGGGAGTGAAAGACTCTGGAACCATCTAGGGAGAACTGCAGAGTGTGTGACACTATCCAGAGAACCAGTCACATCAGAGGTTATGGCAGAAATGATGATGTGGAGAGATGGAGTTGCTGTGGACTCTGGACTCAGGGATGAAGAGGGACTGTATGTTGACAGCTGGTTAAAGGCTTGTAGGGTATACCTGTCAGATGCCAGCTCCAACACTCTTATTTGGGGGTCCTAGAAGGAGGTGTGATGTCGGTGAAGAATGAAGCTCATAGAATCGATGGATCTTGTTAGATGGTGAATCTTCTCCTTTCACATTTTATTTCTCCTCAT